TACGGGACAAGAATGGAGCCGGGGCTACATCACCATATACTCTCATGTATGGGGCTGAAAGACGAACGAGAAGTGCTCCTCAGTGAAATAGGTCTTGAGGGACTCTCTTTGGAGCTCCTGTTGAATGAGGTGGTGAGAAACAGAGCTGGAGCGTTTGCGTTGTTCAAATTTTGGAAGACGGCTGAAGAGAAGGGGAAGCTATACACACAATCTAATTGATGTAAATAATTATATGTGAATAATATTTGTCAGGATTAGAATGACGAATCCTGTATTGGACTTTGATTCCAGTAAAAGGCTTGTTGCTGCTGTTGTATATAGTCACAGTGTAGAAAATACTATACTCTACCTACTACATATAGGTTTCTCTCTGTATTCTTAGTTCTCTTCTCTTCAATTACTCTGTAAACTGGCGAATCCTTTATAGGACGAGAGGCCCTCAATAAAGGCTTTTGTTGTTGTTGTTGTAAGTGACAGTTATTTATAAAAATTCCCTCTCATCTATGATCTTATTTATTATTCTATAAAAATTTCCAAACAAGTTTGGATATCATCCGTTTAATTCGCTGAAAATGGAAACTTATTTTGTTCAGAAAACTTGTAACTTTTTGAGAGAGAGAGAGAGTACATTTTCCTCTTTTCACCATAGGAACCTGTTTTCCTTTTTGTTCAAAATCTCTCTTTTTTATAGTTATTATATATTATATAATTATTAAAATTATATACACCAATACCTCGCTTTGCGTCGTTTCGTTTTGCGTTTTTTTCGAAATTGCGTCGCTGCTTAATTTTTACTGATTTTCACTGTGCGTCGTTAGATTTTCGAAATTGCGTTGTTTTGGATTCGAGTATTTAATTTTTATTTTATTTTTTTTCCCTAAAATATGGCAACACCTTTGTTTTTGATTGCGCCATGCCATCGAAATTTTATTTTCACTTTGCGTCGTGTTTTTTGGAACGTAACCCCGACGCAAAGCGAGGTATGGGTGCAAATAAAATGGGTTTCGAGAGGGCATTTCAAGTTTTATTTCATACTAGCGGACGTTCCCGGCTTCGCCCGAGGTTTTACCCGAGTAAAGGTTTTTCTAACGAACATTTGTTAAAACAATTCTCTATAAACTTATAAAAAAAAGATATATTTTGATAATTTGAAACTCGTATATTTGAATCTCTCGATAAAGTGAACATTTTTTTCCCGGTCCCTGTGTGCCGTGTCATCCTGAATTTTGTCTTTCCTAATTTTCTACATTACAAAATCAGCGTTTTATCTAGTGAACATATTTTCCCGGTCCCTTGAAAAATACTCGATAAGTTTAATAAAATCATGGTCGTTTATGGAAGATGGACGTAGTTCCCGGAGGTCACCCGCCCCCCGCGCGCCAGGACCTCTTGATCACTCTGATTGGCCGGCGGCCGGACGGGGGGGGGGGGGGGGCTCATGATCCCTCTGATTGGTCGGTGTGAACTTGGACTGTCCAACCAACTGGCCGGACGGGGCAGGGGAGGGCAGGGGGGGGGGGGGGGGGGGGGGGGCAGATCTCCGTTGCAAGATGGCGCTGCTTGCGAGTTAAAGCTACAAATCTGCAAATAACTCTAAGGATATTCAAGATATTCAAGAAATTATTTTTCGTAAACCTTTCCGGGGATACACCTAATAAGATCCCAAATTTTCACGGCGATTGGATGTATGGTTTTTGAATCCACAGAGGACACACAGACAGACACACACACACACACAGACATTCAATTTTATATATATAGATTCATCTCAAACTTTCGGGTATCACAAACACTTTTGCATAATATGCTTGTATAAAAGGGTTTGTAACACTTTCCACTTTCATTAATAAAAGAGAAAATTTAAAGAAAGAAAGAGAAACAATTATCTAAAACTCAGGAAAGCTAATTGGACGCGGGCGCCGCTTGGAGGCGCTGCATGAAGATAACTGACCAATGGGAACGGCCCACCTCAACCGTCAGTCTTCTTCCTTGTATATAACCAAAAGACTGCCTTTGTTCTATGTAGAAGGCGGAATAATTGTCATCACTGCCTTTGTTCTATTGCTATGTGCGGTTGTTTTGTCAACATATGTATCCTTATATCTAATAATAATAATAATATATTTATAAAATCACTTATTTGGCTGTTCTTTTTGCAACATGGACCCACAACACTAATAATTTACGTTTTTTTTTAATAAATCGTGAATCCTTTATTTACATACATATTTGTATATAGATGGAAATTTTGCCGGGAGGTTATTGATCTAAAGAGACAAGGGTCGCCTCTCCCGTCAAAATAGACGTCAACACTAGACGCCATCTATTGACCGTCGCCGCAAACTAGCGGCCTCGGCAGATTGTCAAGATTCCATTAGATCCCGTGTGGATCTCATGGAATAAAGTCCGCCCTAGACTGACGAGGGCCATTAGCCCGAAACCATGGTCTCTAGGTGGACGCTTTTCAGTTTGCCAAAGCTGGTGTTGTGTGGCTTTGTTACCGACCCGAGGCCGCTAGTTTGCGGCGACGGTCAATAGATGGCATCTAGTTTTGACGTCTATTTTGACGGGAGAGGCGACCCATGTCTCTTTATATTTGCATATATATACCCATCCTGACTATATTTACATATTAAATTGTCACATAGAAAAATGAAGGAATACAAACATAAGAATGACAAGGCAATTTACTTTTTGATTAAAGTAATTCCCAACTTATTTACATGAAAGAACAGAGAGGCAATGATAACAAGTTGACTAATTTTAAAATACACTCATGGACAAACTTAAGGAAGTTGTACCTTTTAGCATGTATATCGGGATTCAGACAATACACTCATGGACAAACTTAAGGAAGTTGTACCTTTTAGCATGTATATCGGGATTCAGACAATACACTAATGGACAAACTTAAGGAAGTTGTACCTTTTAGCATGTATATCGGGATTCAGACAATACACTAATGGACAAACTTAAGGAAGTTGTACCTTTTAACATGTATATCGAGATTCAGACAATAACTTTGAAAGATATTACAGTGACCTTTATTGAAGACACACGAGATAAACAAGTGTGAACTAAATTAACTCTGTATCCTTAAAACAAAACAGACAACCGGCGATACTAAAGACTTTCCACTTTCTTAAGTTTTGCCCATGAGGGTATATTCTACCTCAATATGCTCTGCATTTATAAAACTATAAATCCTAAGAGTGAGTGTGTTATTACACACCTAAATAAAAATAAATAAGTATTTAAAATACACCTATCCCCCGATTTACACGGTACTTGTTTTACACGTTTTCGCTTTTACACGGTTTTCCAAATAAGTTTTTGTTTTTGTTTTTATCGCACTAAACTAAATGCTACTGTGATTGAACACATGCGCTGTGTACACATCTCACGAGGAATCCCGAGCTTATGTGCTGACTTGCTGCACACGCACACTGTGTCTGTATTTCTAATTTAAAAAATAATAATAATTTTCGATTTACACGTTTTTCTCAGGAACGTATCTATCGTGTAAATCGGGGGATAGGTGTATTTGAAAAAAATTACAATAAAAATTGTATACATACAAATCTCTTATCGTTTACATATTTACGAACTTTAAAGAAAATATCTCAGGAGAATCATTGTTTAAGACTCAAATATCTTAATAAGAGCTTTAAAATTTTACACAAATAAATTTACTGGCAATGCATTTCTTTTTAAATATCATCAAATATTATCTCTACAGACCTTACTGCAATGATATGAGTTTTTGAATGAGAGGGCTTGGCTCATCAGTAGTAAACCCTCTCAGCGGTTTCGCCAAATTAATCATTCATAATCAGAGATAATATTTGATTATATTTAAAAAGAAACGCATTGCCAGAAAATTTATTTGTGTAAAATTTTAACGATAGATGGCAATTAAATTTAATTTAATTTAATAAAGCCTTTATTTGGGTATGTATCCATCCCTATTGGTTGAACGCATTCTGGCAAAGATGGATTTGATTGGTCGGTTATTAAAACAAGGAACGCCATCCCTCAGCCCCACAAGATGGATGACGTCACGTTATAATTTGTATTATTCCTCAGAATGATATTCTTTTCTTCCTATTGGTCGATTAGCTAGCTGTAAGATGATTGGCTAATAATGGATAGCTATATCCTATCAGAAACCTACATTGCCATCTCATACAACGATCACTTGTTTCTTACAACAACAAAACCTTTATTAAGACACTATTGTCTTACAAGGGGATTCGCCTAAAAGGTTATATATGTACATGAGTGAGGAGGAAAAGCAATTTAGAGGGGAGGGGGAGCAATCAGCAGTTGTCTGTGGAGTTGAGCACTTCTTCCTTCATTTTATCTATCGCCTTGAAAAATTTAAAATATTTATAAACAAATGTTTTATCCAGCAGGAGAGTAGTGAAAATTTTATATATATGTTGTTCATTATTGTGAGTTAGCCCCGATATTTCGTGAATTTTCAGTCTCTTTTCCTGTAGAAATGGGCAATGGAATAGATAATGGACCAAATTGTCTTGGATGACAGCATTGCAGAAGTAGCAATTTGAAGGGTCACTGTTCCAAAATACTGTGATATCCTCGGGGGAAAATAGCCATAGAATCCTTTGACGGGCTTAAAAAAATACAGACGATATTATTGAAGGGGGGGGGGGGATCAACTGCTTTATATTTAAGAAAGATGTCTAACACTCTTTTTTATGATAAAATAAATTGATATTTACAAGATGAATCCAAAACACACCATTGACAAACTTCTCAGGATATTGAGATCGAAAATACTTTATTACAATGTCCATATAAGATTATATAAAGTTAAATATACAGTAAAACAACACTTGAAGTTACACCGCATGAGTTTCTCTTCAATGAAAAATCAAAATTTATTTCAAGGTGAAATATTGACTATTTCTAACCTTTTTGGATGAGGTATGAAAGGGTGAATTATGAAGAGTAATGATGAACGGAAAAATAAAAGTGTCCAGGGATGGGAATCGAACCCACAATGTTCCGCTTACCGGGCAGATGCCATGTCCACTATTTCACCTTGAAATAAATTTTGATTTTTCATTGAAAAGAAACTCATGCGGTGTAACTTCAAGTGTTGTTTTACAATCACAAGCCGCAGTGTATTATATTAAATATACAGAATAAATATAAATATGAATAAATACGATTATATATAATGATAAATATATATGAATAAAAAGATATGAATATATAAAATAATTGATAAATATATATGAAAATTCGAAACTATTATAGACGCGTATGATTCTTTCACAAATTAAACAATTTCTACTGCCCTTACTGCAAAGGAAAAATTAATGGGAGGGCCTATTCGAATAATACCAGGGATTTCAGTCATTATTGCAGCGTAATCCGGACAACCCTTCAGGAACGAAAAACCGTTTGAGTCTAAAATGGTTGACAGGTTTTCGACAAAGGTTAAATCAGTGGTGAACCCTCTCAGCGGTTTCACCAGTTTAATCTACCAAGGTAAATCTATCTACTAATCTAAAACTGATGAGTCAGGCCCTCCCATTAATTTTTCCATTGTAGTAAGGGCAGTAGAAATTGTTTAATTTGTAAAAGAAACATACGCGTCTATAATAGTTTCGAATTTTCATAACAGATGGCGCACTAATGTATCATAATACATATATAAAATATATACAAGTCGTAAAGAGAGAGAGTTCAAAAATTAATTAAAAATGTAACAATTTATTTATTTATTTATTTCAATTCAAAACGCTATGTCCCCCTAGGGACACTTGCGCTAAATGTACATACAAATATAACATAGAAAATATTCAACATGGAAAGATACACAGAAAGTAACTTAGAAAGATTCATAAATATTATTTTACATATAGAGATATTCTTTGAATTTTATTTACAGTTACATCATTAAATTTTAAATATATACATATATACAAACATATACACGCATACACCTATTTATTGTTTACAACCATATAATATGTCCAATATTTCCTTGAGATCGTTACATCAAAGACCATTTTTTTAAAATGAAATCCAAAATATATTTACAAAGGAAATTAAATTTTATATATGTGTCCTTACTTGGAATTAAATCACTAGGGCCTAAAGCTATTAAATCGTTGTTGACTCTGTAATCTTGAAAGACAGGGCACTCTAGCAAGAGATGTATTGAAGTTTGTTCCCCCAATCCACAGAAACATGTCGAATCTTGCACAGCCTGAATTTTCTTAAGTAAAAACCTGAAATTTCCATGATCTGTGATAAATTGTGAAATATAATAGTTTGGTCGAAAATATTTCGGAATATCATAAGGAAAGAAACTTTGAAATGTTTGATTAGTATTCTTTTTCAGTAAATTAATCCTTGATATAATGAAATCTTTGAGTATACCTCAATGGGTGACTAGACAGATCAAGGATAGAGCAAACTATTATTTGTTTACTACGACTAGACAACTACAATTCAACTCGAGAGAGATATTTATAACCCAGGGAGCGCACAACGCCAACCACCCGGGGAGTCCAGCTCACTAGTATGGATTATTGTTGAGTGCTTTTACTCGTGTTTTGATTGTTGAGTTGAACCAGTTGACCAGGAAGTTCCATGCTGAGGTCCAGTCTGGCCATAGATGTAGGATAGAGGTGGGTCAGTCCAAGCAGGATAGCTGTTTGTATCCTATGTCACAGTTGACCAGGAAGTTCCATGCTGAGGTCCAGTCTGGCCATAGATGTAGGATAGAGGTGGGTCAGTCCAAGCAGGATAGCTGTTTGTATCCTATGTCACAGTTGACCAGGAAGTTCCATGCTGAGGTCCAGTCTGGCCATAGATGTAGGATAGAGGTGGGTCAGTCCAAGCAGGATAGCTGTTTGTATCCTATGTCACAGTTGACCAGGAAGTTCCATGCTGAGGTTGAGTCTGGCCATAGATGTAGGATAGAGGTGGGTCAGTCCAAGCAGGATAGCTGTTTGTATCCTATGTCACAGTTGACCAGGAAGTTCCATGCTGAGGTTGAGTCTGGCCATAGATGTAGGATAGAGGTGGGTCAGTCCAAGCAGGATAGCTGTTTGTATCCTATGTCACAGTTGACCAGGAAGTTCCATGCTGAGGTTGAGTCTGGCCATAGATGTAGGATAGAGGTGGGTCAGTCCAAGCAGGATAGCTGTTTGTATCCTATGTCACAGTTGACCAGGAAGTTCCATGCTGAGGTTGAGTCTGGAAGGCTGGCCATAGATGTAGGATTGAGGTGGGTCAGTCCAAGCAGGATAGCTGTTTGTATCCTATGTCTCAGGAATGCTGGACAGCTGAAGATGATCAACTGTCTGTGGCTCTTTTGAACAGTGGATGCAGGTAAGGTCTGTTTCGGGATGCACACGTGTAATGTCTGCCAGTACATGGTCATGACCCATGAGGATGGTGGTGGGTCCTCTCCATGGCGGATTTTTGGTAGAAATTTGAGGAGATGGCTTGGAGTGGAAGTAATTCTCCTGAGGGATCTGGTCGAGTAGTCTTGGGAATATAATACAGTCCATGATGATAGAGCAGCCTTACGTGTCAGGTTTCGAGCATGAATTCGAGGCAAGGTGGAGTATGAGTGTAGTAGGACAGAAGTAGCGACAATTTTTGCTGCACCGTCTGCTAGTTCATTGCCATTGATTCCAGTGTGTCCGCATACCCAACACAGCCTGATGTAAGGAGCTCTGTTAATGAATTTTATTATATTTGCCACTAGCGATGTACGTATTGGTCCAGAGGAGCTGCTAAAGCAGATCTACAGTCCGAGGCAATGGTCACTCCTGCTTTGGTTGGACTTATATACGCGAGTTGGGCTGCCCAGAGAAATGTTATTCCAACAGTCCGGAACGCGTATGTGATATTGACTTTTCTTGATTTATCAAGAAATTGGGTTGGCCAAATATCTTTAAAACAAGCTAAATCAATGTTTAGTTTATTTTTGTTCCACTAGATGGCACTCTGCCATCTAAAAATGCTTATGTGAGGGTATATCAACACCCCTGACCATTTATATATATTTTTTCTTGTGTTTTTTTTCACACAAATACATACATATATATATTTGAAAATAGAGCAATTCATATATAAATCATTAAGATAATAAAAAGGCATATATTTTATTCAATCGAATATATACCTTATTTAATCATTTATATACATCATATTTTCTCCTGTAGAAGAAAGTTCGTGCTCCCGAAAGCTAGAGTTTAAATATTTTGAAAAGAAACTTTCCCTAGAAGCCTGATATTTTTACCTTAATATATATTTGACTTAGGTTCGAACCACTACATCAGCCCGTAGTACATGTGATCGAGAATCTTCAAACTTAAATGTTGTAAAAATTGTTCGAAGAATCTTCCTTCTTCTTCCTTATCTCCACTCAATCAAATTATGCTATCAAGTTGTGACCCTTGATGATGTCTGTTTGACAACCATCATAATTGGGTGAAGTAGAATGCGTCTGCCTTTGTCATTAAGACTGGGAGCACTACTCAATGGCAGGCCGACTTAGCTTCAAAAGAAATGGCCACCTCTGACATGAGGAACAGACGCCATGTGCAGCCGCTCCTAACATGGAGTGCAAACGTTGCTCATCCTGTATCCATGGATCAGGAGCCCTTACAGGGTACTATCAGCCGGGCCAGCTGAGCCCAGGTTTTTTAGTGAGCTTGTTACTGCTCCCCCTCCTCCTTTTTCATCCGGGCTTGGGACCGGCAAAGGCGGAGTTCGAAGAATAAACCTAGACAAGTACTATCACAAAATTACTCATTTCTACAAACGAATAAAGGTTGTCAATCAGCACTTGTAGTTAAGCATAAACACTCAAATTATCTAAATAAAATGTTACCAATACCAAAGAACAATCCTCATAGAATAATCCCCTGGAATATAAGTGGACTCGGTAGAATTATTTCCGTTTTTCCACTCATTGATTATCTTAAACAGTTTGATATATTTTCTCTGACAGAAACGTGGTGTCAACAACAATAGCTTTATTTGGAAATTTCCGTTCTGTAAGGACTCTCCATGCATCATTTTCACGGAGAAAAGGAAAAAAAGGGAGAGAAGAGAAAATGAAATCAAAATATTCAACATAACTATACAAATTCACTATGGAAGGAAATTGTTCTGTAATTTTAGTTCTTAGAGATTACCTTGTTCTCGAGAAACGTGGTGTCATTCCCTAATGAACTTGGCACTTGAGAACTATGAAATTTATCAACCACTGGCTTTGTTGTTGTTGTTGTCGTGTCCAATGAAGAGCCTCAGATGTCTCCATACACCTCTATTACAGCAATGTCTACTATCTTGTGTGTGTAAAGCGGCTGCTCTGGGTCCATGTCAATTTTCTACAATCACTGGCTTTAAAACACCTATATAAACCGAGGAAGAATCTATTTAGAAATAGCTATTAAAAGAAAGCGACTGCGTAGCAACGAACATCGTATATCTTCTACATGCATAAAATAGGAGCCGTATAAAACTGGGATTTAGCCATATACTATTTATAGATTTAGTCTAGACACTCTAGTGCTGGTAAGAGATATAGAAATACTTAAAGTGTATATTTTACGGAGCTATTTAAATCCACTTAAATAAAGAAGGAAAACACCATTTTACAGGCCTTATCTAATCCCAACTTGAGCTATATCTCGGCGTGTCTTAAACGGATTTTCTCCCAAGTGGATTTGAATATTGGCTTTGGGTTAAGGCGATTGGGATCCAGCCTGGCAATCTGGAAGAGGTTTAAAAGCTTCTTTCCGAGTTGGAGTGGGTCTTCGGATTTATGGAGCTTCAGGTAGATTTCCGCGTCCCCGCTTGTCTTCAAACGGATCATGTCCCTGAGTGTCTGCAAACGGATCTTCAGATATCTGGGTGTTTTAAAACGGGTCTTCGTGTCCCTGCGTGTCTTCAAATGGGTCTTCATGTCCCTGCGTTTCTGAAAACGGGTCTTCATGTTCCCGCGTGTCTTCAAACGTTCTTTATGTCTCTTCGTGTCTTCAAACGGGTCTTCATGTCCTTGCGTGTTTTCA